GAGTCCCTTACTAAGAGCATCTCCAATGCTAAAGCGTTAACGGTGCATACGTGACATGAGAAATAACCAATTAAAAAACAATAAATACAATATCTCTCTCCTTCTTTCCACGGTCTTATGTGTTTATGGTAATTTTTGTCTGCAATGTCAATCACAATGTCTACATCTAGACATTGTGCTTGACATTGTGAAGATAAACTTACCAAAATGATGTAAGATCCTTTAAATAAGGAGAGAGATATTATATTTATTATTTTTTAATTGGTTATTTGTGATGCCACGTATGCACCGTTAACGTTTTAGCATTGGAGATGCTCTAAGTTTCTGAGTTAGTAAGCCTGATAACTCGGAGAATGGACACGAAGATTGACTTGTATGTTGGAATACACTGAATTGTATATAAACTTCAGTGTATTTAATGCAATGAATTAACAATGTCAAGAATACACATTTCTCATTCACGATTCATAAGTCGGTCCTAATTTTACAATAGTATCATTTTACGAATATCTATATAGTGTATCGAATTGTGTATTTGTGACACTATAGACTTACATCGTTTACTCGGACTTAATGAAAGTATCACTACAGAAAAAGATAAATACAGGAAGACTTGTCGTATTTATCTATTTCATAATCCGTGCAATATAAAACCTATTGCATATCTATTTACTCGAAGATTGATAACGAAATTGATAAGATTTAGCCATGGTTTAGGGAACCCTAAAATTTTATGGGTACCATACCGACTATTGAATAAGATATAACGAGATTGTACACAATTCCGTACAAATAATATTTAACATATAATTTCAAGTAATGGAAATCTTGAAAGGTGGATTGTAAGGTACCCATAAGGTACCATACCTTTGTCCAAATGGACCAATGAGAAGTAATCCTATATTTATTACAGTAAGCCTTGATTCAAGCCATGTGCGATTGTAAACTATTACTCAAAATGGGCTGATAGTGAATAGATGAAAATACACAAAGTTGGATTAAATAAACCATTATATACTTCAGTATATGATGGTTTAAACTTGCAATGTACTCATAGTCATTGAGAAATGACAATTTAATAAGTGTGGACAGTATACCGATGTCAATCAAGTTTTATACACTCGATTTAGCCATGGTTTAGGGAACCCTAAACCATGATCAAGTGCAATAGGATTCGGTATATCAATCTTCGAGTAAATAGATATGGCCATTAATACATTGAGGTATTAATAAGTGTATTCTATTTCATGCGTGTAATAACTGGGATATGCACAATAGTTTCATGAGTATAAATGTAGTTGTGACATATGATATACAAATTAAGTGTCAGCCAACATTAAGTTGGCTATCATACCGTTGAATATATTTACACAGTAGTATAAAATGTTATCCTACTGTGTTGATGTACTTGATAGTAAACATGAAATGACAAATTAGTCGATACCAATACTCGATCAAAATGTATATTTATGACTCATATTCGTATCCCAATCAACACGACTGGTGAGACAATATTAACTGAGTATGTAAATGAGAGCCGTGCCAAAACATGTCGGGACTTCATTTGCATCTCATAGTTCACGGTTCATTTACGATAATATTTACCATCGTGGTTAAAATACACATGCATACGTGTGACCATTGGGCACAATTCTAGTACGATGTCTATCTAATTATACAGATGACATCGTATCGATTATCCGGACTAAGTATTTACCACAGAGTTATGATCAAGGAGGAAAGGACGAATTTACGGGAATTCCATGCATCCATTCCCAAAATACGAATGTCGGAGCTAGGATATGAATTTACGGGAAACGGGGTTGGGGAATCCGACTTTTGTAGGGTTTTTTGTGGGATTCCATGAATCCGACACCGTGATTTTATTAGGCAATTCGGGTTTCTTTAATCCGAATATGAGAAGTCGGATGGGCCAGGTGCTTTTTCGGATTTGTGTAATCCGATATATATGGATGGCTGTGCATGTGTCAGAGGCATGCATGGCAGCTTCGGATTTTGTGTTTTCGGATTTGTGTAATCCGATTATTTGGCCGCGAAACAGCTCTGATTGGCCAAAGGAATAACACGCAGATTGTGCTTTCCTCTTCTTATTTTCAACCCTTAGATCATATTAAATAAATCTCAACCCTCCAATTTATTTTGTGCGATGGTTCACTATCCAACCACAATTCTTACCTCTTTAAATACCTCCAACATCATATTAAACACACTACAAAAAAACAAATTCAATTAGATAAAATTATTGAGTGTTGTTGCCGATTTTAATTCGTTGTGTCCTTCAAAGAGGTTAGAAATTTAATTATATTTTTATTCTTTTTGAGGCCGTTTGGTAACACTAAAATTGGTTGTATTGACTGATTCTGCTGAAATTTATGAAGTTCTGGCTGATGTGGCTGTATTGGCTGATTCTGCTCATTCATGAAAAAGTTGTATTAAAAATATTTTTTATTAATTAATAAAATAAAAAGTTATATGGAAAAATAGCTAAAATGATCCTCTACAGTAACTTCAGTCAATACAGCCAGAAAAATAACTTCAACCTTAGTTTTTCTACTTATTATTACACAATTCAGCACGTCAAATAAAAAATTACGGAGTACGTGTTTGGTTAAAAAGCTGGCTGATAAGCCTGATAAGCTGAAAAATGGGGTCACCAAGCGGTATTTGTGATTACACGTGTACTGATTTTTTTATTTCAATCTCAGTATTTAGAAATTTTTTAATATTAATATGCAACTGATCTTAATTGCTACGGAGTATTAAGATAGTTGATATAGTCATACTAAATAAATATTTATAAAAATAATTGGTTCACTAATATTTGTTATAATGTATTAATTAATAAATCAGTGTATATAGTAATTTGAGACTACGTTGCTTTTACAAATTTAAATTTAGTTTAGTTAGTTGAACATTTGAATTTAGTCATCACAATTTATTCCCAAATAACACTATAATATAATTTAGTTCATAATATTTATTATAATTGAGCCATAAAAGTGTAGAACTAGTCCTTTTATAGTTTCTGGCAAATGTTATGACTAGAACTAGTCCTTTTCTAGTTTCTGCCATAATGAAAATATTAATCAGTGGCAAGTCTAAAATTGCAATCAGTACATATATTATAATTGCACTATATTGGTACAATTTTCACAAGCTCGTCTAGAACTAGTCCTTTTCTAGTTTCTGACAAATGTTACGTCTAGAACTAGTCTTTTTCTAGTTTCTGGCAAATGTTACGTCTAGAACTAGTCCTTTTCTAGTTTCTGGCACACTGAAAATATTACTCAATGGCAAGTCTAAAATTTGTATCGGTTCATATATATTATAATAGGACTATCTTGCTACAATTTTCACAACCTCGTCTAGAACTAGTCCTTTTCTAGTTTCTGGCAAATGTTATGTCTAGAACTAGTCCTTTTCTAGTTTCTGGCACAGTGAAAATATTACTCAATGACAAGTCTAAAATTTGTATCGGTTCATATATATTATAATAGGACTATCTTGCTACAATTTTCACAACCTCGTCTAGAACTAGTCCTTTTCTAGTTTCTGGCATGGTGGTAATACTGTTCAGTGGATAAGCCCAATATCAATCGTACACATATTATATATATATATATATTTTTTGAACATCCCATCAATTTATTGATTAAATAAGAGTGCAATGAGTAGGAGGGCTATACCAAAGCCTACTCGAATACCACACTTTATTGATTATATTCGTACATATATTATAATGTAATACATAACACTGATATAGTTTCATTGAAAATTTATATATGTAATTTATAATTTCATTTAATAAAATACACACACACACACATATATAACACTAATATGTGATTTTTGTTGTTAGTTGAGATACGAATGGCTGCACAAATACCACTTATGGACCCGGTTGATCGGTCTGTGCTAGTGATGCCACGTTACGCGCATCGCGCGGACCTTATCTGGAATGGTTGTACATCCTTGGAGGAGAAGTTGAGATGTAATATATATTGTTCAATGGTGTACAAAGACGGCCCGCGTCACCCAGGAGTGGTAGCGTTGCTGAAGACCTCCGGATTTTATGGCGTCGAGGGCATCGGAAGGTTGCAGTTGGACTGGTCGCTTATAACAGCGTTGGTTGAGAGATGGAGACCAGAGACACACGCCTTTCATTTGCCTTTTGGTGAGGTGGGCATCACCTTAGAGGACGTAGAAGTGTTGTTGGGGTTGCCCGTCGATGGAGAACCACTGTCCGGACCTACGACGAATTCGAAGGCACTTTGGATGCAAATGTGCACAAACTCTGCCGGTTTCACGCCAACCAACAAGGACTTAAACACATCTGTAATAAGAATGAATGCCCTACACCGTTGGCCGGTACATCAGCACAGCACAAATGAGGAACTCATCACACACACGATGGTACTCATTTGGCAACTACTAGGCGGGTTATTGTTCCCCTCCACTACTGGGAACAAAATAAAATTATTCTTTTTAGAGTTGTTGCAGGGACCACTCGGTAATGCACGACGGTGGAGTTGGGGCTCAGCAGTATTAGGATACTTGTATCACAACATGTGCAAGGCCGCCAAAGCTGACAGAAAAAATATTGGGGGATGCTTGCTTCTATTACAGATTTGGGCATGGGAGAGATTGCCCATGGTGTGGCCGCGAAACGCTTTTCCATTTGAGAATCTACAGGATAAGCCATATGGCTGCAGGTATAATTTAAAATTTTACATAATAAATATTAGTATATCAAGAATATCTGTAGTTCACAGTATAATAACTTATTTTTATGAAGGTGGGCGTGTAGGCACAATTGGGAACAAAGTTCTCGGTATACCCTGCGTCTTTATCGAGATCAGTTGGACGGGATACGAGAGAACGAGGTTATAATTAACAATATCATTTCAGTTTATTAAAAAATTAATATGTATTTAAATTAACTTCAAATAATATTGATCCAGTTCGTGTGGCTCCCATATGCATTACAAGCCCTCCCCTGGTTCTGCGTCACGGGAATACAAATGTGGACATCTAATGTCATGCTTATATTCTGTGACATTTCTGAGATGTACTACCCCGGTAGATTTTGTCGTCAATTCCGTGCAATGCAACATGTTCCTCCCGTGGCGGAATCTCAAGCTAGACACCATGCAAGTGGTGCAAAAAATTCTGGATGGCCATTGACACTATGGGAGGAAAGGCACACCGCTCGTCGTCGTACCGCAATTGAGTTCGTTGATGAACCCACATACACTCCTGCGTACCGTGAATGGTACAAAGATGTCGGGAAACGACGGATTTGCAATCCGTTACATGGTCGACCTACAACGAGTTATGTACCTACTAATAGGGAGACGAGTACTTTGGTAAGTATTTTATGTGTATTTATTCTTCTATTACAAATATTTATTGTCATTTAATAACTTTACTTTGGAATTGTAGATGCAATGTATGGGCGATATCTATCGACGCATGGCAGCTCCATTTGACGTCGAAGACATCCGCGAGCAAATTGCACGATGCCTTACGGGATTAGGTGCCGAAAACGTGCTTCATGAAGACATCATTTTGTTTGGGGATGCCCATGATGATGCAGTGGATGCTCATCCTCCACTTCGGCAAGACCTAAGAAAAGATGCGCCCACTTGAGGTCGGCGTTTCGGGCGCGGTTATGTCGATCCACACGTCGAAGAGAATGTGAATGATGATGATGATGATGATGGTGACAACGATAATCATGATGATGGCGACGACAATGATTATGAGGATGATGATGGTTATGATGATGATGATGATGAAGAGGATGCCGAAGATGGTGGCGAAGAAGGAGGACAACCATCGTCTTATGTTCATTCACATATCCCTTCCCCGCCTCATGTACCCTATCAGTACTCTACACCGATTGGTGCATACATTCCAATGTTTGATGCGCCAACGCTTATTCCACATGTACAACCAACATATGAGACGCGCCCCACCTTTTTAAATTCACCAGTTGATTGGTTGGATAACTTATTAGGATCAGATGCACAGAGCCGATGGGGGCACGAAGTAGGGCCAAGCACACAACCAATGGTTGAACAGAGGCCGAGACGGGAAATACATTCTCGACGCTGTGGGACAGGGAGTCACTTCGTGGTTCCCGGTCGACACTTTGAATCCGATGACTCAGAATAGTTTTATAATTTGTTTTTTTTTTTTGAAAATCCATTAAATTTGATATTCTCATATTATGAAGTTGTACGTTTAATATTATCAACTAGTACAAAAGTGTAGACATTCCTCTCACTTTTTCTGGCAGATTCCCTGTTGTCAGTACGGGAACCAATAAATTATAAACAGTTTCATTTCAATCAGTTATTATTCAAAATAATTTGAACCAATCGCTCCCTACCACTTCCACCCACCTAATTAAACCTACTCCCAATAATTCGGATCTCAAAAAAATAAATCTGGTACAAATCTGTACAGATTCCCCCCCCCACTTTAAATTAAATCAATCAACTTTTACTTTTTTTTGGCAGATTCCCAATTGGTCCGGGAACCAATAATTTGTCACGGTGCACATTGTGGAGAAAAACTTATTAAATCTGTATAAAATCATTAAAATAAGGAGAAAAAGAATTTATTTACTAATATTTATGTGGCTATCTCTCGTGCCACGTGTGCACCGTGTACATTATACCATTGGAGATGCTCTAATTAAACCTACTCCCAATAATTCGGATCTCGAAAAAATAAATCTGGTACAAATCTGTACAGATTCCCCCACTTTAAATTAAATCAATCAAAATTAAATTAAATCTGTATTCCGCTAGTAATTAAACCATCCAAAATAAAACTATGAAATCCCTTAAAAACCAACACGTGCAAGCTATACAGAATGCTAGAAGCCTAGGACGAACGTAGCATTTTATTTAAAAAATGAAAACCACATTTCGGATGCTAGGAATCCGAATATCCGATTATTATGATTTCAAAGTCAAACCTACATATTTCGGATTCCACAAACACGTTTCCCTTTATTTAAGAAAACCTAATAAAAGTCCCGTATTTTGGCTTAGCATGCAGTGTTTTCCCGTATAATGAGAAATCACCCTATGATCAAGAGTCCAAGACTAATCACAATAGTATACTGGATTTACCTAGGATGTCTATTTTACGGATGTTGATTTAATAATCAACATCCGTAAAATTGACATTGGTATGGCAACAGACAAAACTCACCATGTAATATATGTGTAACACATTTTAATTGTGTACAACAACTATAATATATTACAGTTGAGAATAACAATAATGCTTAGTATACATTACTTGTACACAAACTGTACATCATATAAATACCTTTTCAATTTTTACCATTCCCTTTCATTTTTACCATCTCCCACCCCATGACCTTCTCCTTCCTCTCTCTTTTCTCTGCGCTACACACACCCTCCACCCCTCTTCCGTCCATTCTTACTTTTTTCTTCAATTTCAACAAATCTTCAAATTTCTTTCAACCTAGTTTCAAATACCAACACCAATCAGCGCTGCTACTCCTCCACCGAATAGCCGTTCACAGCGACAAGCAAGGACGGTCGTGAACAGTGGTAGCTCGCAGGGAATAGAAATGGGTGATTGAGCCGATGCTATGCGGATCTCCAGCTCCCTTCTCTTCGGGTATGGAACGTCGTTGACCGACTTTATAGTAAGTAGTACTAACCTTCACCGGCAAAGCCATGAATATTAGGGTAAAAACCTACTCCTTGTTTTTATACTCAGATAGGGTTGTGATTTTTCTTCAGGTTTAGTAAATTATGTGTGATATTTAATCCTTGACTATTTCATTTCATTGATATAAGTTTGTGATGTTAACAACTAAAATTGTAATTAAAGTATTGTACATAGTATTTCATTTGTATGCCCATTACATGTTTGTTGAAATGATTGAATGAATTCTTTTATCCATATTGATTGTTTAAGATGCTTTTGCTCCTTTTATTCATATCAATTGTTGAAATTACAAATTTTTTTTTTCAGTTTTAGTAATGATATACGTATATTATGATGGTGCACTCTTGACTATTTTGTCATATTCATATAGGTTTGTGATGTAAACCATTGAAATTACAGTCCATCTATTATATTTCATTTGTATGTTCATTACATCTTTGTTGAAATATTTCAATAACTTTTTTCATATCTAAGATGTTTCTACATTTCTTTTTTTAATGTGTATTTTTGTTTATAGGAATTATATATTTTATTTTTTATTTTGCAGTTTAATTTTGTTTAAATTATGCTTCTCCATTCCTTGTTTTCTTTATGTGCGTTTTAGTGCTTTTAGAAATGTATGGTGCCAACAACATCTGATTTGTCATTCTGTGATGAAACAACAACTTTGTAAGGCTAAGATACATCATGATCAAATCACATCAAGTTGTAATTTCAGGAACACGGAGAAGGTCTCCTTTACCTCACTGAGAGTGCTCCTACTACTTTACTACAAGCTTGACAATTGTTGTTTGATTAACTTTCTTTAGCTTCTTAGTTTTGGCACAAAAATAGTGTTTGATATGTTATGAATAAAAGTCGTGTTACATGATTGTCTATTTATGCACTGGCTATTCATTCATTACTTGCAATGAGGTGCAACTATGGAAGGATGAGGTGCAGAATCTTAGGAAATGTTAATCGGGTGGAGTACTCTTCCATGAAATTGGAAGGATGAAAGGTGATGGTCATTTCAAGCGCAAAAGACGGGCAAGAGACACAATTGCTACATCTACGGAGTGTTTATTTTTTGACAAAAAGAAAATCCATTTGTTGGAATGTTTTTATCTTGTAATAAGATTGTGATTAGGACATTGGAAATGTTTATCCATTTGTTCACATATTGGTCATACATATTGGTTAGGACATTGGGAAAAAAAAATTATGATACGAAGAAGAATGTCAACTAATTAATATAGATTAGTCGGCATTGGAATGTTGGAATGTTTAGACATTTGGGTTGTAAATGATAATAATGCTTGTTTCTTTTGGATTAGTTGGCATTGAGATTTGAGATATTGGACTCGTGTATATGACATTTCGGTTGTAAATGATGGTGTTTGTTCACTTTTGTTTCTGTGGCTATTGTTTGTAACTAGACACTTCAAGTCGGGTTCACAGACAATTCCAATTAGCACATTTACCTGTTCCAGTGGCTATTGTCTGTGGCCAGACATTTCGTGTCTGCTTCACAAACAATTCCACTTAGCACATGAGCTCATTAGCCTGTTTGTGGCCAGACACTTCATATCACGTTCACATATACTTTCACTTAGTACATTAAGTCCGTTCAAGTGGCTATTGTTTGTAATCAGACAGTTCATGCTTGCTTCACAGGCATTTCCACTAATGTACTAAGTGAAAATGTCTGTGAACCTGCTATGAATTGTCTGGCGAAAAACAATAGCCACTTGAATGGTAGTATATAGTCTTATTCCTGCTTGAATGTAGTTATACATATGAACATTACATGAATGAAGAGAACATATATTTAGAACTAAGTGATTGAACCTTGCTAAAATCTTAATCTTAGTTTACATTTGTTCATATTGTGTAGGGTAATATTCATAAAATTAGTGTGGAATGAATATTTGAAATAAGTAAATAATGTTTCAGTATGCATGTATGTAGGTTAAGTGGTCATGTCCAGGTTACAACTGCATGAGAGTAATGTCTGTTTCTTATGAAAATACCCAAGAGATTTCATAGGCGGCAACTCATCATTGTTCAATTGATGAGTTGATTATGAAATTAAGAATCTCGGTTAAATAAATTCACTTGGCAAATTAACTTGTTTCAGTGGTATTGTTGGTAACTAGACATTTCATGTCACGTTCACAGTCAATTCCAATTAGCACATTTGCTCGTTCCAGTGGCTATTGCTTGTGGCCAAACACCAGAATAGGCTAATGTGCTTAGTAAAATTGTTTGTGAACCAGACATGAACTGTCTGGTTACAGACAATAGCCACATGAACGGACTAATGTACTAAGTAAGAATGTTTGTGAACGTGATATGAAGTGTCTGGCCACAAACAATAACCATTGAATGGGCTAATGAACTCATGTGCTAAGTGAAAATGTGAAATTGTCTGTGAACCAGACATGAAATGTCTGGCCACAGGCAATAGCCACCTGAACAGGCAAATGAGCTAATTGGAATTGTCTGTGAACGTGACATAAAGTGTCTAGTTACAAACAATAACCACTGAATGGGCTAATGAGCTCATGTGCTAAGTTCTAACTGAAATTGTCTGTGAACCATACATGAAATGTCTGACCACAAATAATAGCCACTGGAACAGGCAAATATGCTAATTAGAATTGCCTATGAACACGACATGAAGTGTTTGGTTACTAACAAAAGATACATATTTACAAAGTCTTTGATTCTCAAGTGAAAAACAGACATATTACAAACAAAGTGCTCCATTGCCGAGAACAAGCATTACCATTTACAACCCAAATGTCATATACACTCCAACATCTCAAATCTCAATGCCAACTAATAAAAACGAAACAAGAATTACATTTACAACCCAAATGTCAACACATTCCAACATTCCAATGCCGACTAATCTAAGAGAAACTAATTTAAGATCATCCAATACTATAAGATAAAATGAGCTCCACCTATGACTAAATTAGTCGGCATTCATCTTCATAAGACCCATCATCTTCATAAGACCATCATTTTCCCTTTGCCATACCTTGTCAATTCCGAGGACCAATAAGTCTGTCAAACTTCTTGTTGATCCATGTCTACAAAACTCATATGAGATATAGAAACAATGACTAAAGATAATGACTAATAACAATGTATTCAAACAATAATTATTATAAAATAATAAAATATGTCTTTTCATGAAAAAATTCAAAATGGAACTCCTTTTTGTGGGGGTATAGAGGGAGCGCATTTTTACATAATGATGAACTCATGAATGTCAATTTTATGAGAATTCAATAATAGCATAACACGAAAAGGGAGTTACATATGAACAATATGGATATAGGATGTGAAATATTAATTATCCACCAATCTACGTGACTTTTCGATAAGACACGAGCCCGATGCATCCGAAGTCATAAACAATCAAGGAACCATGAATAGCTCATATTGTTGGTTCTATCCTTCCAAAATCTACGTGTTGACCGTGTTGCTAGTAAGTTGACCTCGTTGACCATATAGCTCCGAGAATTGACCTGCAAAATAATCACTAAAGAGAATTAAAGTATATTAGTGGCTCGAGACGCGTCAGACGCTGTCCTAAGGAATTATATCCGGCGTACAGAAATTTCCCCCAAGATATAACGA